GTCGTACCAATAGTAATCGTAGCACTGGACCTCGTGAGAAAAGAAATGGACAATTTTATTGACATTTTCCCAGGTAACATCAATATACAATTTGCCCAGAAAATCGCCCTCCTCAGAATATCCCATATACTAAGAAAAGTGCTATAAATCAAATGACAGTTCTCCTATTTGGACCCGTCTCTACGGGATACAGAACAGGAAAAATAACAAACACAAATGGTTATGATGATGATGATGATGATGATGATGATGATGATGATTGTATATTTGTGCAACAATCCCACATCTATAAAAGTTTCTAAAAGACAATTGACAAAGTACTGCGATTAAGCTTTTTATACATTTCTTCTTGTGTCCGTGTTAAGTATTTACTTTTCTGGGCATAAAAAAAACTGTCTGAGCGCTTTTGGATGTTTTATCAGCCACTAGCCGAATTACCCGCACCTGCGTGTCAGACATTTTGTTTGCAAGAAAAATGATGATTGATTTTAAATCATTGCTATAATTTATGGAGAAAAAGGATGCATTTCAATATTACTCAATGATCTTGAAGATGCGACCTCCATCTTCAGGCTTTCTTCTATATTCCCTTATTCAAATTTAAATTTAAATCAAAGAAAGAAAACTTCAGTCGGGGTTTGTGCCCGTCGGGATCTCCCTTTATCAAAATGAAAGTACACTGGTAATATATATATATATATATGTGAAAATATATATATATATATATATATATATATATATATATATATATATATATATATATATATATTGTGTGTGTGTGTGTGCGGAAAAATATAGAAGATAGGAAAGAACTCGTTAGGTAAATAATCCAAAGTTCTTTAGTATTTTGTTATTTTTTTTAAAAATAGTGCTGATACAAAAGTAGAGCATAAATATAATTATTTATTTAAAAATATGATTCCAACACGCTACATAAGAGTTCTCATGTTTCAAAACAAGAGCCGAAAACTTCAATATAATATTTGAATTAAATTGAATTAAAATACTAAGCTCTGTTCCATCTTCAAGCAAAATTTTTTTGGAATAACTTATTTCTGAAATATATATATATATATATATATATATAGCGAGCGAGAGAGACAGACATACAGAGAGAGAGAGAGAGAGAGAGAAAGAGAGAGAGAGAGAAAGAGAGAGAGAATATATCGTTATGGGGGTGGTCTATCTCCAAAAGCCTGGGAGGAGTTCGAAGTTCGATAGCAAACAAACAGAGAGAAGCTATAATTTTATATATATATGTATATATATAGATTATCGAGTTTTTAATTTTCAAACACGATCAGCACATTGTGGCCATATTCATAACTGATGATACTGAGTGTTGGGTTTTTAGTTTTCATTATTTTTAACTTTTATTTACACGTAGATAAGTCTATAATAGATATATTTTCTACAAGTATGTTACGGACAGAGTTTGGTAGGTTTCCGGGTGTGTTCAAATAGGTTCTATTTGAGCTATGGTCAGAGAGAGAAAGACAGACAGACAGACACACAGACAGACACACAGACAGACAAATAAAGAGATCTGATCATAAACACTTATAAGAACAAAAGGAAAATTGAATAAAAAGCTTAATCTGAGTATCTTGTCAGTAGTCTTTAAAGAAATACAAGTCATAAGTCATCGCGACTCATCGTGACTCAGATTGTTGACCACACTAGATAACAATTTCTCTCCCAGAAACTGAAACTAAGGTCTGCTCAGCATAGTTGCAGTATAAGTCACAGGTGGGCTCTGTGGGTGTTGAACAAACACAAATGTGCCTGAGCGAGCGTCTGCAATAGGGATTGGCTAGCCGCCCAAATAGACAGTTATCCTCGAATACGATTGATCAGTTATTATTATCATCCCAAAAACCGGGAATTTTTGAAGTGCGTATTGCCAGACATGAGCAAGTGGCAACACTGCGAGACAGTGACCTTGAGCAAGTAAACATTTCGCCATTTAGAATTCAAGATGAAATTCCCAGTATCCCAGCTGAGATGTTGCAACAGTCAATGAGGAATCTCAACAGCAGATTTCAAGAATGCATTCGTACAGGAAGACGCAATCTACAGGACGTAATTTTAAAAAATAAAAATTCACCATTGTTTCTTAAATGGCATGTTTTAAGGTTTCAATTACTATGAATAAAATATTTTTCTTCCATCACTCTTGGTTTTATTGGATTGTTAAAAAGTTCCCGTTTTTTGGGGGTCACCCTACGTTTTTGTGTCATTTAATAATAGTATAATTATTCGATCGTGATTATGATATTTTAAAATGATTTCAAACATTTTGTGTATTCCTAGTCGTTAACAAAATTTCATGAAACATCTCTGATGTCGTTTGTTTGAACTGTTGTACCCAGGTCGACGTTTTAGTCTTATTGGTGCTCGGACAAAGCGCTTGAGAGACAGTTTTTATCCTTGGGCATTGCTTAAAACGAACACTGTCACACGCGCACAAATTTCAACGTAATTTTAACGTGAATTACTTTTCTTCCTTCGATAGAGTTTGTATTTTCTTTTTTTTTTTTTGTGTGTCTGGGGTGGGCCTGGAGACTGCTGTTGAATATCATTGTGCATTATGCAATGACAAAAAGAATAAATATATACATTAATTAAATAAATATACAAAGACAGACGAGGAGAGACATGAACTAAATCGTCGTTCTATTATATTCATATGTTACAAAATACATTCAGGTACACTTACCTAACACCCACTCTCTGTCTCTCTCTTTCTCTCTCTCATATATATATATATATATATATATATATATATATATATATATATATATATATATATATATATATATATATAAGTATGTACATGTATGATTATTAATTTAAAGAATATCAAACACTGAAAACTCCCATGAATTTAAGTGTTTATATTCTTTAATTAATAATAACTTTTGTACACTGTCGTTTGATATAGAGCTCACCTTCGATCTATATCCCGGAAATTCCATATGGATTACCATATTGTATCATTAATATATATATATATATATATATATATATATATATATATATATATATATATTATTTATATATATTACTTAAG